TTAATGTAAAAGACATACCATAAAGCTCTTCATTTTAAATGATCTAATTATCATCTCGCTATTAGTTTAGCACTAATACTCTTAATGTTAATGTCTTACAGCCGGACATTAAACCGTTATGTTATATATATTTTTTTGAATTTCAAAATGATTTTCTTTTTCCCCCCCAATTTTTTATTTTATTGTAGATGTTAGGGGTGCACTGAGATTGGCTGATTTTGGGATAAGTAGACGCTTGCCCAAAGACCAAACTACTCACCAAACAGTTGGTGGAGGAACAAAGTGCTGGAAAGCCAGAGAAACCCTAGAAGAGGGCATTGTCCCATACAAGTCAACAACAGATGTTCAGGTGAGTTTCTACGCTACATGTACCCACCTAGTGACCTTGACCGGCGTAAAAAAAAAAAAAAAATAATAATGTTTTGATACCTCTTAAGGTGGCAGGGATGCTGCTTTATTACATTCTGTCTGATGGAAGGCATCCTTTCGAGGGCAGCAAATCCTTTCAGTTGGAATCAAACATTTATGAAGGAAAGTACAGTTTGGATTATATTCAGGATGTTGTAGCAAAAGATCTAATTGAATGGATGATCAATAAAGAACCAACAGAGAGACCTCGAGTTGAACAATGCCTAAGTCACCCCTTCTTCTGGGAAAAAGAACGGTAAGACAACATCACATTACAACACAAATATTTACTCACCCTTGCACTTTGTTAATCAGGACCAATTTAGACAATCAAGAACTCTCTTTGTAATGTTATTAATCATTTGTCTAAAACTTTTGTTCTATTCTGTCATGCTACTTCCTCTTTAGTGCTTTATTAAACATATGTTGATGCCTATTTTCAGAAAAGTTGAATACTTAAAAAGAGTTGCTAATAGAGGAGAAGTGGCAAAGTATAAAAATGCTGACCAGACACTTATAGATTCACTTGAAAAATATGCAGACCAAGGAATCTTCTTACAGTGGAAAGAAAAGGTGAGAACAAGACAAAAAAAAAAATCTCAGACGTATGTTATGAAGTGACCTTATTTTCGAGTTTTTTTTAAATCATAAACAAAAATCTTTGAGCTGAAGAACATTCGTTCGGTAATACATTTGAAAAGATAAATAAACAACACTGGGTTACCAAAACTTTCTAATTATGATCTTGTTGGCTTTTCTTTCTTTCTAGTTTCCACAGGAACTTGTTCAAAAAATGGATGGCAGGAAACCCTACCCTGACAACATTCTGGGGCTGCTACGTTTTATGCGCAATATGCTTGAGCACTAGTAAGTTTAGCTAATACTGATGTGAATATGTTCTAGACATTTACTTTAGCTGTATAAACTCTTTGAGTGGATTCTTCATTAGTCTTATACATCACCATAAAAAACAAAACAAAAAATAGGCACTATGTAAACAGCTAAAAATATTTCACCTACTGCTAAACATTTATCATATATTTGTTCAGTTAACAACTGTTTAATGTTCACAGTGCTGAAGAGGCTTCAACAATTGATGTCCTTGAATTATTTCCTGATCTATTTGGATGTGTCTTCAAGTATGCTCAAAGCAACGGATGGAATAAGGAGATCCCACTGAATGAAATGTTTCAGAGCGAAGACTCTCAAAGCATCTTTGCGATGCCATCCACAAGCACCAAGGAGCATCTCCGGGTTCCAGCTCAGGAGTCACAACCCAGTAATTTAGAATGAATTTAGCAACAAAAAAGTCCAAAGAAATGAATGAGACTTCTGCTGGCCATATGTCAAATATTGATTGTTCAATTTTTATCACTTCAGTCATTTGTTTAGCTTTAAACCAGTTCTCATAAATGAAAATATTTTCTCTTGTCAATGAACACATAATTTACATGATTTTGTCATATCTTTGCAGACATTTTGGGAGAAATTATGCTAAAGTGTGAGTCTTTATTGCTGATCATTTTAATATTCATGCAGGTTTTGCCTATTAGTCCTTTTAAATCTTTATTGAATGTGTTTTTAGCAACTGACTCTCGTTACGGTTGTCCTTGTGTTTTGTTTTTTTGTTTTTTTTATCAGCTGTTTTTGACATAGGGCACTAGAATATTACTGTCCTGCTTGGATGCATAAGCAGCAGAGATGTAGATTGTTTTAGATCTCACTCAGCCAATCATACTTTCTGTGTCTGCCTAGTTAATCATGGTACTTTTTTTAAATGCTGCTCAAAAGCCTGGAGCTTTTGGCCTTTCAAAGCCAAGTAGAATACACATTTACTCAGGTAATTTAACTTTCTTTGGGCTTTCCCTCAAAAGGAGTAGGACAATATGCCCTTTTCAACTGAGAGTTCTGAAATTTAAAACACAGGAGGAAGACAAATATGGTTCTCCCTGTACTTCCAGTGCCAATGGGCTGCAAACAATTTAGTCCATCCATCCTTCTATCTTCTTCTGCTTTTCTGTAAGAGTCACTGGGGCTGGTGCCCATCATCAGTAGTCTATTGGCAGCAGTCAAGCAAAGGTACACCCTGAACAGTTTACCAGTCCATCACAGTTTAAGTAAAGCATAAATCCCTAAGCATAAAACGTTTAATTATGTGTCATAAAACTTTCTATCAACCTGTACCAGTCAAGAGTTGCTCTGTAACTGCATGATTCATCTAAAATAACAAAAATAAATTAAAAAGAATGATTAAAAGTTAATTTTTATAATATAAACAGGTAAATCTCAGGTATCTGCAGGACAAATAGAAAGCATTACTAGTCAAAATTCTATTTTATGAAGTTAGTTCACATTTACAAAAAATATATTTTTATCTTGAGTTTGTAAGCCTCAGCTAGTATATATTAAGTACAAGTGGAAGACAGTGGTGTCGACAATGTGAAAACTTAAAACTATTCCACACAAGAAGAACTTTAACCTGTGTTCTCTCCTCTTGCAGCACTGTCAGCATAGAATCACAATAAATGAAAAAAGGTATATTTACATAATATATAAAGGGGTTACAGTCCACTAAAAGTTTTTCATGAAAAGCCTGTTAAAGAGAATGTATATTTCTTATTTCTACAAGGAAGAGTGAAAGTGCCCCATCCGATCATTATTGCATCAAAATATTTTCTTTTAATTACATTTTATAATTAAAGTTTTACCATACCTCATTAACCCATTAAATTTACCTTCTGTCACTACAGATGGTTATAAAAAAGTAGAGATGTTGACTTTAATTTAAAAATAGGTTTTATTTTGTATCTATTTTGTCTTTCTTGACTTTTATTTTTTTATTATTTGAATGCTGGTCCATTTGATGTATTTTTCTGTCCTATGGATTTTATTATTTTTATGTTTACTGTTGTTTTATGTTGCTTTTGTTTTTACCTGCTTCTTAAACTAGATGAGTTGGTCGTTGCTATGCAGGACTATTTTTTATTTGTTTCAAATTGTATTTCATGTTAAGTTACATCAGATTTTATTGTCATGTTGATTTATCCATGTAACTGTATATAAGTGTTTTTAATTTACAGAATATACATATTTCTATTGCAATAGCAACCTTAGTAAAGATACCCTTCAATTCACAAGATATACTCTACTCTTCTCTTTATGTTTATCTTAATCTTTTATCTCATTATGTAGAATTATGCAAGGTGAAGAAAACTTATTTGGGTATTTATTTCTAAAGGATGGTTTTATATTATTTTACATTCTTGATAAATCATTCTGCTTTCACAAATGCTGTTGGATATAAAATTAAAAGCATAAAAAAGCTGAAAGTAAAAAAAAAAAAACAGTTTTGTAAATAAACATATTTAGTGTTACGAAAATGTACTAGTTAAGCAGAATTCATTCAAGTAAAATAATTAATAAAAATGCTAATGAATTGAAATTCTGAATCCATTATTATATTTTTAAAAGGTTATGTTCTGCTTTTAGGAAGTATTCGTCTTTGTGCAAAGATCTCCAGAGGCTGTTATCACCTGGTCAAGCAGAGGGTTGAAAATTAGAGAATGAAGATTTTGGAGCTGATTTTGTATTATTACAATGCCAAAGGCTGAAAAAATAGAGCTCAGAAAAGGCACTGGAGCTTATTTTGGCTTGAAAAGCAGCAGTCACACTATTTTTTAATATAGATTTTTGTGTTATTTTAGGTTTAGAAATGTTAAATTTTGTTATATACACAGGTTTTGAAAAAAAAAAGTGGAAAAATACTTACTTCATTAATGTGTTGTGGCTATCAAAATGCTTCAGTTTTATTTTATGGGTCACATGGTAATAGTGAGTAAAAGCATTTGGAACAATTTGGAACAATCTGTCACATTTGGAGAGGTTTGGAGACACTGGTGACACCAGAAGTTCAAAGCTTCACAGCTCTGGAACTTTTGTAGCCAGAGGTCTGTAATTTTCTGCATTTGTGGTTGACATCATGTAGAACAAATGTAATCCAATGAGAAATGCCTATTCTCAAGCATGTCTTTACTACTGCTGTCAAAAGAAGACCTACTATTTTTTAGAAGAAAAAAACAACAACTTTGAGTCATGTTTGAACGGATGCAGCTAAGGCTGTGTTTTACTTACATTATTATTTTCATTTATCTTTTCAGAAACCACAAGACAATCAAAATACTATTTGATATTTTTGTTTATCGCATGAATCCTCTATTGTGCATTTTGTTGAGGTTGCATTACATTGTTAACATAAGATACTTATTTTCCTTAAACAATTAATCTGCTCAAGATAATAATTTCATAATTTAGTTCGTAGTAAACATCGTCTTAAACACAATGTAGATTTATAGTTATGTGTATTTGCATAATTTAGTTGGATTGAAGTTTTGTTTTAAAAGCAAATGTAGGAATAGTTTAAGTAAACGGAATTTTTAGATTTCTTTTTTAATAAATAATAATTTAGGATTTTCTGGCAAAAACTGACCAAAATTTTATTATTATTATTATTTTTTAAAATAACATTTTATTTTGACGGTTCTACCGGAAGTGGTTTCATCTTGACAGCTGAGGCAAGTAGTGACGTTGCAGGGTAAACAAACGGATGAGGAGGTGAGGCAGCGGTGTTCTGCCTTTATTCTGACATTTCTACCTAAGCAATAATGCAGTCTTTGAAGAGGAGTGAGAGCGATTGGCAGGGACTGGTCAATGAGGTAAGAGGGAAAAGGCAGCAGCGGGAGGCTGCTTCACAGACCCGGGGAGCGCTTTAAGAGATGCTCTCCTGGTCCATATGGAACCAGCGATGGTGTGTCTGATAAACAAACCCAGAAACTCATTAAAGACACTTGGTTTAAATCGCTACGGTCAAAACCATTGCTTTATTTACGGCAGTTGAATAAAGCTAATTCAGCATCCGGAGGTGGAAACGCACCTGTGGGCCCACCTGGTTATCAGGATGTGTGCTTAAAGCTGCCTGTAGCAGGGGCGGAGCTAGATGGGGGGCCAAGGTTGGCAACAGTAATGCTCTCAAGTGGAATATTCAAAACTTTTTTTTTGTGGTTAATTATACACATCAATATACTAACATCAAAGATGATAAGTACAGTATTCATGCTCTTTTCAGAGCTAGATTTTGTCCTATATGGGGTAAAGCGAAAAATATGTGTCTGCAATTCCTCTAGGAGTCTTCAGTGAAATTAAAGTGAAATATATTGATACATAAAAAATGATCAAATAATCAATTTATGTAGATATTAGTGCTTGTAAATATCCATTTTATGCAGAATGTTTATTGATAATAGTAGGTAAGTAATGAACCGGAACTCAAAACTGAGTTTTATCCACTATACCTTTTATCTAGAAATTACGGATGTTTAAATATATGCGTCTATTTGTTAACAAAGGCTGTAGGAACGTATAGTTAGTCTTTATTTAGATGTAGATTGACTGTGAGGTTCTGGTGCTTCTCCGCTTTCGGTCACCCCTCAGTGTACTTTGGTTATTGCCTGGCCACCCTTATGAAAATCTCTGGCTACGCCTCTGGCCTGTAGACATGTGTTCCTCTATTTACATATTGATTGGACGTAAGAAAACACGCTTAATTACTCAGTTAGACACATCAACAGGTTTATTTTTTCACCGTGTTTTAAATATATAATACAATCTACTGTACAATACATTCTATTGAGATTCCACGTGATAAACCAGCACCAGAATATTGTCTACTGTAAAGTTTGATGAAGAAGCAAACATGTATTTTTTTAATTATAATTTTTTGCAAGGTCTTTTATGGAATTAGTGCATTTCTCTTTAGCTGCCCTGAGTCAATAATTTTAGGGCATGGCTACTGTCTCTTCACATCTAAAGAAAATCAGCCCAGAACTAGACCAAGTTTTGTGTCTGTCAGTTGGATTTATTGTTGTACTTTGACTGAGCCATTTGAACCTATCGATATATATTGATAAAATTATTCCATATCAGTTCTGTGTGTTTTAGGTCATTATCCTGCAGGAAACCGGAGCTCCAACTCTGTCTCTAGTCATTGTTTTGCAATTTTTCTTCCATGTTTGCCCCATATTTAACAGTCAATCTGACTTACTATAAACCCAGACCAGCTTCCACCACTAGATAATTTTGTTCTCCTCCAACCAGAACACCTATAATGAATAAATAAATAACCCAAATATATATATATATATATATATATATATATATATATATATATATATTTGGGTGCCATTTTATTTAACTTCTGTTTGAGTAAAAATCTGTTGAAGTAATGCCCCTCTTTTTTATGGAGAAGCCCTCTGCCTACCTCTGTGCTTTACTAAGAACCATCCAAGATTCTGCCTGCTGAGCTCCCATTAATGCTTTCCTTGATCGGCCTGTCTAGACATGTTAGACACCGTTGGAAAGCTTAGATTCACCTAGTTCATTTTATAGATATAGGAAGCACCAAAGCACAATTAACACAGATACAGCAGCATGTCAAAATGTTCCATGACAAAGCAGCCAGAACAAGCAAGCATGTTTTTATAACTGCTGTTCAAAAAAGACCTATTATTTTCCAGAATAAAAAAAAAAAACTTTGAGTCTTTTTTGAACTGATGCAGCTTGGGTGTTTTACTTACTCAATTTTCATGTATATATGCTTATTATAACTAGCAGGTGTTAGCTTTCAAATAATGTATCACATATGTAACTTGGGCTTACAGTTCCTCAGTAATTTGCTTTTCCATTTGGGTATGCAAAATAGCAGAGAATTTCCCAAAATGAGGTAGATATTAAGAGGTTAAAACATCTATAAAACATATATATATATAGACTGTTGGAAAGCTATGAAAATAGCATGTCAAGACCATTTTAAAGAATTACTAGAAGGTGTTGCTGCAAAATAAAATAAGATAAAACCCAGAAATAACCAATATAATATGGAGCCTGTACCATTCATACCACTGCATTCTGTAACACCACTTTACTGTTGTCTATACACTCCTTGTTTTAGTTCCTGGTGTGCAAACGCAAGCTGGAGAGTAAGAAGGAAGCACTGCTCATCCTGTCCAAGGAGCTGGATACGTGTCAGCAGGAGAGAGACCAGTACAAGCTGATGGCCAATCAGCTTAGAGAGCGCCACCAGGGACTGAAGAAGAAGTACAGGGAACTTATTGTAAGGATTAAACATGCAGGAAAAAAAGTATTTTTTTTTTTTTTATAGAATGAAAGAAACAAAGCTGTCTATGTTGATACTTATATTTTATACATTTTTAGGAGGGAGATCCTTCCTTGCCTCCAGAAAAACGTAATCAGGTTAGTTTCATCACAACAAAGATGGTCCTAACAGATTTAAAGCAAACTAGTTTTCCATTGTATATGTAAATGTATTAAAAGTAGTTGTAATTATCTTATTAGAATGTCTATAAACTTTGCTGTTTTATCCCATATTTCTGGGAATGTGTTTTATCCAGAACTAAAGAAGGAAGTGGCTGCACCCTGTCTGAAAGTTTAATTGATTTATGTGTAACTTTTTGTGATTAACCAAGGGGCTCTCCTTTCACCTTTTTCCTCTTCCTCAGGTGAACCTGGGTCAGCTGTTGAGGGACTCCAGGGAACGAGTGAAACAGCTCACTGAGGAGGTGAAGGACCTCACTCAGAGGCTGGCGGAGGCTCAGGGGGATAACAAGGTGCCCTCACATAAATCCATTTAAAGTTGAAAAAAGTGATGATAATGTTTGAGGGAATTAAGTGCTATATGTTCCTGCAGCTGCTGAGGATGACCATCACTAGACAGAGGCTGGGGGATGAAGAAGTGGGGGTTCGCCACTTTCCCGCACACGAACGTGAGGACTTGGTTTCTCAGCTAGAAAGAGCAGGGCGACAGGTGATGAGGTTTGCTAAAGTGAAGATCATTTCAGGCTGTTAAACAGATTTTTTTTTTCCACAATTAAAGCAAATGCTACTCAAATCCATCGCAACACCAAATAAAAGAAATCAAATATAATTTAATTTGACTGTAAAGGTTCCAATTTTTTAAAGCAAATTTTATTTCATGAATTATTACTGATTTTAATTGAAGATCTAAAAAAAGCTACTAAAGGATTCTGTTTATTGGAGACATACAAACATATATCTATGCAACTGACCAGGGTGGCCAACTCCAGTCCTTAGGAGCCTTTGTCCCCAACGTTTAGTATGCAAATCTACATGCTCATCACCATTTTCACTTACCAGTGGTGAGTCTGACATAGTGGAAAAGTAGCAAATGTTCTTTTGGAAAGTAAGCTTGTAAGAACGATGCAAACAGCAACTTTTAAACAGAGCATGCATGGGGAGAAATTGGTTCATGCACACTCTTGCAAACGTTTAATAGGCACTTCCTTTCGGGAGTGGATAAAGAGTTGTGCATGTGCATCATTTTTGCCTGCAAGTTGGTCTAGCCTCAATCAATGCCCCAGGCCCTACAACTGGCCAACCAATCACAATGCAGAGATGTGTTCTGAATTTCTGTATGCAAAGCGGGCGGGGTTTTGAGGGCGGGATGACAAAGCTGTGCAACGCTGGAGAAAGCTCTGCAGCTTTGGAAACAATTTTGGAAGGATTAGACTTGGGGGTTTTTGTGAAAACGTGAGCAGGAAGAGGCTGTACTCTCATTCATTTTTAAGGACGTATTCGCTGTTTTACTGACAGGCCGTTTGTTTACACTCCCCCATCAGCTTTCTGTCGCGCTTACTACTTCATTATCAGTTGCGCTCATTGGTCAGAGCGTTTGCCAACACGCACAGACATGGTTTGAAAAATAACGAGTTCTCATCAACAATCTTCCGATGTCTCATTCATCAGGGCCAGAATAAATTACACATTTAATCTCACATTTAGTCTGGTTTATCAGGCTAGGAAAATCCTCCACTATACCTTTAAATAGAGTGTGAGACTTAATGCATGTATTGACACTTACAGACAATGAAAGTAGATTGGGGAGTCTTACAAACAGTACATATAACCAAAGCTTCACATAAACATGCACGGTTAACCTGTTTATAGATGGAGGAGATGGAGCACAGCATCAAAGCCCTGACAGACGAGTTACAGGACGTTAAAGCAGAACGCATGGTGTTCAGGGAGAAGGCTGAGCGGCTAAATGTTGAACTGAACCACGTTCTAGGAAACCACGAGACACGCATCATTGACGTGGACGCGCTTTGCATGGAAAACAGGTGAGTGATAAACAAAAGACAGCTCCTGTTAATTGCAGTAAAGAGTAACACTATGGGTTAACCTAATCTTTATAATAATGATAATTTTAATGATTTTTAAACCTTTAACTGGGGTGTCGGTAAAGAGTTAAAGAATTAAGATCAGATAAAATTGTTTGTTAGAGTTGTAAATCTTTTTACACTGTTTAGCTGTTTCCAAGACTTCCATTTATATGACCAGGAATTTTCCATATCATAATACTTCTCTTCCATGCTTTTTTTGTAAAACTATCATCAGCTGGCTTTGAAATGCAGATTTCTTTTTGCATTTTTCTCTAAGCCAAATGTTTTCACCCCAGTGTTATCAGTCAGCTTCTGCTTTTTTTCCCTTGCAGTGTGAAAAAAGAATCTTTGAATAAATGTGTATCCGCTTCAAGGAGGCTCTTCCATTTTCCATTAAGGAAAAAAAAATTGCAGCTAAACAGTTTTTGATCTATACTAATCTAAAAATTTGTGTTTTTTTTCCATAGGTAATATTTCTGTACCTCCTTTTATTTCCTTTCATGCAGCTTTTCTTGGGCTTTGATCATTATAAATATGTACTATTGTAGACTATTGGTTTAAAAATGGCTTTTTGTGAGCTTCAAATAATGAATAAGGATTAAATTCACACAAAGAATAAAGTAATCTTTGAGCCCTTAATAAACAAATAGTACCAATGCAGGTAGTATTGTTTGGCGTTTCTAAAGCTTTGTGTTTGTGTCTGTTTTAGTTATTTACTGCTCTGGCCTTTGCCAAAAGGCTGAAATGCTTTCTTTAGATGTTCACTCCTTTCAGATATTACAGTCTCTTACCCCCCTATAGTTATAATCCTCTTATAGGATTGTTCAGGGGAGCAATACCTAAAATTTATGTTCCAGTATAAAGAACATTTAGTACCGCTGTGCTGAATTATGCCGCCACCTGTAAAACCATGCAAGGGTAACCATGCTGCTTTTTGGACAAAGCTCAAAATTGTTTATTATTCCTGCAGTTTAAAACCTAAAGTAGGATTTAGAGTATTAAATGTGGATCTTTTACAAGTTTACATTCTTCTTTTCTAGCCCTACTATAGAACTTAAAGCACTAAACAAACTAAATATGCAATTAGGGCTGAAAATAACGATTTTTTTGCAAATAGATTAATCTGTCTATCAAATTAAACCAGGTGAAATGCAAACTTTTCCACTTTAGGAGCTCTCGATAGAGCATATTGACAGACTTTAAAAAAAAATTATTTTAAAAGCAAAATGTTTATATATTTTTTTTACTGCTCTAAGTGGGTTTCTCTGTCAGCTAACAGCATGTTTTAGAGTCTCTATACTCCATTTAACGATTAATTGATTGCTACATTAGTTGACGATTATTTCAATAATCAATTAATCATGATTATTTACTTCAGCCCTATATGCAATATATAAAAGTATTTGGGTTAGTTAAAGAACAATTGATTTTTGTGGTTCATTTACTCCTAAAGTGTTGAAAATGTATATTTTCCTATTATTACTGCTAAAATTCATCCTATTATATAAACATGCAGACATCTGCATACAGTACCATCCCCAATGAAAATGAATGTTGTCCTGATTTGGTAGCTCTTAGTTTATTCAAACCCTTATTTACTTTTTGAACATTTTTTGGATAAAAAAAAAAAACAAGAAATAAATTGGGGCTAACATCTGCCCATACTTCCATTTCCAAGTTGCAGAGAAACCCTTTTGGTTTCCATCAAGACACTTCTGGCACAATTCTGTGTGGATAATTTCCAGCTCCTCTAATTAGAAGCTGTAAAGTTAGTTTTACTCCTTTTCTCCTGGCATGAGGCGCGCTTTAGAAGGATCCAACTTTTAGTTGGGTCGATGAAACTTAATGTTAGTCTGCCTCTTCATTTAGAGGCAGTTATCTTGTTTTTTTTTCTTGATTTTGGGATCATTGTTCTCTTGCTGCTGGTTACGGCAACAGGACCATCAGGTGATTTATAAAAAAATATATACATGTCACCGTTCAAATGCAAGCAGGTTTTACTTCTTCCTCCATGGACAAATAAAGCACTCATATTTACTTTTGGGACAGCTTACACTCAAATCTACAAATAAAAAGTTCAAACTTTGTTAAGTATACCAAAATAAAAGGAACAGAAATTTAAAAGAGGTTTTAGAAATGCTCCAAAAGAGTTATGAAAGAGTTATGGATGCAAACTTTTTGTAACAAAAACATAGACTACTCTGCAAAAAATGTCTCTTTCTTTTGAAAGTAAAATATCAGCAAGATGATTCAAAACCTTTGTGCACTAAAGTACCCAAACTTTATTTTTTGTCATGTTTCCCTTCTAACCACATTCATAGCGTCCATATTCAGAGCTTAGGACTGTCACGTCTTGCATATAAAGTGCCTCATACCATCTGTGCTTCGACCCTGATTGCATTTTCAATCACTTTCCCCGGTAGGTATTTACATGACCGGCTCTCACAACTCCAGGAGGAGGTGAACCTGCTCAAATCAAACATCATGAAGTACAAGGTAAGTCCTTCCTTTTTACTTGAAACTCTCAAAATGCCTTTTGAGTCTTAATAGGATTTCATGTTTTTTTTTGTTTTGTTTTTTTTTTATATGAACTAAGCTGCATATATTGAAACTCATTCATCAAGCTTAGCTGGATGGTCTTTGTTGTCTGTTTTTCTTCTTTCCTCCCATAGACAGCCCTGGAGAGGAGGAAAAACTCCAGCACATATGGGAGATCAAACAGCATTCCCCTTACAGGAGTGCTGTCAGCCAAACAAGGTGAAAACACCAACTGTTGAGCTCACTTTAAACACAGACCTAAAACATATTAGAGCTGTTCATCTGGAAACTAAAAAAAAAACCAAACTGTGTCACCTTCGCTTTATCTCACAAATTCGATCAGATATTTTCCTTGTCATCAGGGAATGAATCTAGTTCTTCTCGTCTCAAACAGTGTTTTTACTAAATTATTCAACAACCTGGGCTTATGCCGATCCTTCAAACCTACACCCGGTCACCTACTGTGTTTTTAATTGTATTCCCAGCGGTGCAGAGTGCCACTGGCAGGGAAATGAGGCTGCCATGATGACTGACAGTCGCTGGCAGTAGCAGCACAGTGGGTTGTAGAGTTAAAGTTAGGGAAGTGTCACCTAGCAGACAGCTGTTTCTAACACTCTGTCTCTGTCTTGCTCTTGTCGTGCTGTTTCCCCGCTCTCTCATTCTGTCAAACTGTTTTTTCCCCTCTTATGTCTACTTTTATAGTTTTTTAAAAGTTGTGTCGAGGCATTATTAGTAGATTGTGGCTTAATCTCATATCTTTTCTCAGCTTAAAGCCTCTTTTCTTCTATTTGTAGTCCAGGAGATGCTCCTGGAGGAGCAGGGCTGCAGCTTGCCTGCCACGCCTCAGTCCATAGCCGACCTCAAGTCCCTTGCTACCGCTCTGCTGGAAACCATTCATGAGAAGAATCTGGTCATCCAGCACCAGAGGCACACCAACAGGTACAATGAGAAAAAAAGTAATTTGTTCTTAAAATAGGATCATTTCTTGAAGGCTTTTTATTGAATTGAGCAGTTGAGTTAGACACTTTGCCAATAGAGTATTTCATTTGAAATGGGGGAAGAAAACAGCTGCATTGTCTTTTTTCAAGTGCATAATATCTAAATATCTCATTTTAATGGAAATAATACTAATTACACTTACATATCATCTTATTTACCTGATCAGATTTTTTTAAACTTATTTTTATATTGTTTTTATGGAGGACCCAAAGAGTCATTGAAAATGAAATCAAGCCTTTTAAAATTAAACATTTATCTTTTCCATGACCCTTCTAATCCCAGATAACCCTGGAAAGCAGTTAAACTCTCTCATTGGTTAGACTGCCACACCTGGTTAACAAAAGGACCAATAAGAGAGCTGCTTATATCTGAGGTGCAAATGTGATCGGCCTAACTGGTTTTCGATGTGTTCAGGGACCAGAAGGGTCATGGAAAAGTTAAATCGCGAGGGTAAAATAAAAAGAAAATGCAATTTCAAAAAGGATTTGAAAATGCAAGTTAAAAAAGGAAATGGAACAAGGAATAACCTTTTTAAATGTGTGATTATGAAAGGTATTTACTATCAGATTTATGAATTTTGAGTTTAAATACACATTTTCAAATTCCAGTATTAAATAATAGCTTAATAAATACAGTCTATAATTCTTCTTTAATAATTCAATGTAAACTCTGCCATTAGAAAATGCTTTTCAAATTGCAGGATTTAAATGTTAAATGTTTTCTTTTTCAGTGAATATCAGGGGCCTCTATAGAGTGTTTTCTAGAACTTTTTCCCTAATCGGTTACCATGTCATTTTAAAATTTAACGTATTTAATCAGGACCTTATATGATAGACCTTATGAAGGTTGAATAATGTTGAAGAAGAAAGAACATGTAGTGTTACAAAGAAAAAAAAACAGGAATTTTGACACGCTTTTACATCTATCAAGGAACTAAGTATCACTGCTTATTCTATGCTACACCTTTATCACCTTTCTCGTTTTGGTCTCTTTGCTCATTAAGTCCACTTTTTTAAAATTCTTTTCTCCGTGTTTGAAGACATATTCATATCTTCCCTTAGTATGCCAACTGTAAGATTGACCCAAAGACGTTGCTTTGATCAACCTGCAGGCGCAATAAGGCGGTTACACACTGGCCATTAGAGAATCCTTCCAAACATGTCCGTTTTACCTCTGCTTTCAAAGCTGACTCTCTATCTACGCTCATATAAATATAATTGTAGTGAGGACAAATTTGAGCATATATTGAATGTAGATTAAGAATGTAGATGACCAGATCACCTCCTTCTGTATGTTTGCTGTGTCCTTTAAGGTTTGTGGTAAACCTTAAATAGGGATTCCTGTGGCTTTTAACAAGCTTTGTCCTTGCCAGCCTAACATATACATCAGATCTGTGAAGAGAAGAACTAATGGGTACAGTATTTACTCCTCCTTAAAGAAGAGCCTGACCGATACAGGATTTTCAAGCCGATATCAATATTGAGAACTTTTAAAAAAAACAAGACATTTTGGCCAGAATATAAGAATAATATAAAAAAAACTGAATATGGACATATAAAGGATATTTACTGTCCACCTATAGTCCAACTCAAATTTGAATAATAAACAAAATATGCTTCAAGACAAAGAAATAGAACTATAGGATTAAAATAAGCTACAGTACTTTAATTTGAGCAGTGTAAACACAAGACTATAAATACAATACATTTTTGTGGTTCTGATTTAGATACTGCATCAAATAGGGGTGTTCTTCTTGTCTTGCTGATGCTGGAGCCCTGACCAACTTTAACTCTAACACTACAGATTCTGAATCCAACACCGGTTACACTCTTCATGAAGTGGCTCCATGCCTGACTGTTCCTCTCTGCCTGGGAAATGAAGATATATACTTTTAGTGTATTTTACTAATTAGATTTCAATGCTACAAAAGTTTGTTATATTTACAAGCAACTGAAAAGTTCCCTCCTCCACTGAACACGGGATTAAACTAGATTTAAATAGAAATGCTGCAGCTTTTAAAACATCCAAACAGGATTACGCTAAATACATATGTTAGAGCCTTTTAAAAATAGGTTTAATGAAAAAAAAAAAATTCTGAATTTAGGAGCACCAGTTCAGCCTGCATGTCAGTACGAAGTGTAGTTGGACACAATATAATAATCTTATTTTCCTCCTAAATGTACGTTTGTTTCACAAGGAGGTGAAACTTTTATAGAGCTTAAATGTTAATAAGTTTGCCACAACTAGTGCATATAAAACTCGTCTGCTCTCCTGAGTATTTCCATGATGATTTTTGTTGTCCTGGGCCACCAAAGTGTAGTTTTACAAAATCCCAGCTTATCATGAAGTAAACTGCTAAGTTTCTTCCTTTTCCTCCGCTCCAATTTTCACCTCCATGCTATTTTACGCTATCTGTGAGTGTGTTTGCGGTGCAGAGAGAGTCCACTAATATTGATGAGAGGAGGGGCAGAGGAGCAGAATCAGCATGCTGCTGAAGTTTCTTTTTGTTCTTTTTATCAGCCACATTTTGGCCAATGTTGATTAACAGGTCAGACGCTTAAATCAGCCCAATAAATTGACCCGTCGATTATCGGTTCGACTCTATCTTAAAGGCAAACATTGAGCAAATAGATAAAGAGCATATAGTGCTCTTACTCTGTTTCTGTTTTGCAGGATCCTGGGAAACAGAGTTGCAGATTTGGAGAGGAAGTTAAAGACGTTGGAGGTCTCAGGATTGTGGAGTTTACCAGGTGAGTTAAAGTGTTAAAAAAATTAATTATATTTTGCTCAATACTCTGAATTGAAATAACCGCACTAGGAAAAACGTTAAGATCCGTCTGTCACCATTTTTACTGTTGTTTCAACAATGAATGTTTTTGTTGGTGGTTTAGGTTGTGTGACTGCAATTCCTACTAAATTTAAAAAATGTAATATAAATAAACCTGACTAAACATGTTTAAGTATCTTTAAATATGAGTTTGAGCGTTTTTTTATGTATCCACCTCTGTCTTTAATGAGACACACTGAGAACACCGAGTGTCTACCACACCATAAGCAAACAGAGCTACGTAACTGCTCTTGTTTGTCTTGGGTTTCAACCTGACTTTACAGGTATTTTTTATTTTTTTTTTTGTCACCATGACGGACAACAAGGCACACAACAGCCACAGCAATGAGGTTTACTTTTTAATTTAGGTTTAGATTAGGGTTTTTCTAATAGGGTGGGTTTAGGCCTCAGTTTCCCTGTTAAACCAGGGACTAAACAATGATTTGTTTATTTCATTTTCAGTCAGACCACTTAAATGTGGTGTTCTTTCCCCAGTTGTGATGCAAAGTATAAGTTGTCTTTTTGAGAAAACTGAACAGTTGTACCCAGGGGCTGTTCTAGATGGGGCCCAAAAAGGGCCGGTTCCCTTTGTAGAACTGATCCTAGTCCCTGTTATTGCCCCTGAACTAAAGAGCTATTACTAAATGAGCTTCACTAATTTAACGTTTTTATGTTTTACTTAAGCAATGATTACAAATTTAAGTTGTTGCACTTTTTGCTTTAGCAACTTTGAGATCACAGTTTTAATCGCAAGATCAGGATTCTGCAGCCTGCAGCTCCAGACCTTCAAGAGGCTCTTTGGCTCACTTAATATATGAAACCATTAACTATTGCACTGTGATTTAATCTTATTTGTTTCCTTATTTTTTTTATTTGCCCCCATGAAAACCACTGGCCCCACCTTCAGATATATTTGGTCTAGAACTACCACTGGTTGTAGCCTCATGAAAAACAAAGTTGTCTGTGTTGTAATTAACTGTCCAAATTACAACACGTCTTCTTAAGGCCCTTCAAAGTGATCAATCAATCAGATCATTCAGTCAGATTGGTTAAAAGTTTGCTATCTAAGGAAAACCAGCTGATTACATCCAGTCACTGACTTTGCAGGATGTGCTCCTCCTGGATGAGCATGTGGTAACAGTAGAGATTCACTTGCATCGTGTCGTTGACTCTATAGTGATCCCTACACCACATATAGCAAGATGAGAATCTATGTATGTATGGATGATTCTAGAATGATGATTAGAATCTTACAGTACTTCCCTAAAATGTCACTTGAGAATGATCGTACCAATCTAAATTAGTGAAATAATTCAGCTTTCTAATGTTGGTTTGGCCTGCTGAAATAATAAACAGAAAGTAATAAACGTTGAATTTATTTTCATCCTTTATGCATGGCTAACAATAAAAATGGGGGGTGTTGTTTGTTAGTGATGTGCTGTTTGTTAGTGTTATTACTGTGGTTGTGGTGGCTCCAGTTATGTCACCAAAACTGTTCATCCAGTCCACTTCAATCCTCCAGTAGGGGGTAAAAGGGGAAACTATCATTTGCATATCAATCTGACTGGTGGTTTGGGGCATGCTTCGGTGCGGCAATAGTTGGCGCACACGACCCATGTACGGTGGCCTTGGTCCTCGACGTGGCAACCCAGGTTTGAGTCCGACCTGTGGTCCTGTGCCACATGTCTCTCCCCCTCTATCATTACCCCTTTCCTGTCAGCCTACTATCCAAAAAACAAGCCACTAGTGCAGTTTCCTTAGTAGAACACATTGTAATAACATAAGTGTTACAATGTTATTGCGGTTTTGAACTTGCCTGTATCTTTTTTGTTTTATTTTGACAGCATATATACACATTAGGTTTTTTATTAACCTTGTACCTCTCTGTCTCTCCCCTTTGGCTGGATCTCAGGCTTGACCTACCACGTATCAGTGGGAATTGGGAGTATGTATTCCTTCTGCCCCACTTAGCCCATCCATTGCCCCGTTCCTTTGTATGTCATGCCAGAACAAATCTGGGCAGACGCCCAGAAAACATGCCACCTTGTGCCCACCTATTACCATGTGTCGACTCCATTGACCACAAGCTCATGTGTCTGTTCATGATACCATTGACAACACCATCTCAGCAGCACACACACATTGTGCCTTTTCTTCATGTTACAGATGGGGGGGAGGGAACAGAATTGTTCACACCCCATTTTTTTTTTCTCAACTTTTATGTCATTACACTAATTTCACAAATTGTCATATGGGAGATTATATAATGTAACATTTTCCACTCAGAAACCCCAAACCTCATTGAAGGCAGTAGATACCATTGGATCTTATGCACCGAAATCAAAATACAGGTTTTGAACATAACACCTTTGCATTATTTATTGCGAATATTATTAAACTTTTATGTTAAAATCACTATATGATTTTTTTTACCCTGCTTTTTATCCCACCAGTGGAGCAATCATTGAGTTTTGTTGCCATACCACAAAATATGCGCAAGTACACACATCAATGCATACGAAATTTTCTCCAAAGCAGTTAATTTTTTATTTTGAGTGTAGTAGAAAGCTTTAAAGAATACTGTTTAAGAGGTTATTTACAGTATTTAGGAAACTGTTTAAAGCCTTTCTATAAATCATGTAGTCAGATGGAAGTTAAAACATGTTACAATTGAAGTCATAACCAATTGTGGGGTGGGGGGAAGGCACCAAACCTCCAGCTTTTCAATACTAGAATAAAAAATGTAAACAGTCTATGAATGGTGTCAGAATTAGCTCAGCAGACTAAATCTAGGTGATCAAACTTTTCAGAAGGCAAACACTTCTCCTCTTGTTCCACTGGAGGGCGATGTTACACCATCTACCAAACAGTCAGAAAGGTGGAGGGGCTGTGGCTGGATGGAGGTGTGCTGTCATGAGACCGTCATTCTCTCCGCCATAAAACTGACAAGCATCCATTACTGAAAATGATTGCCCACATTACAAACACATTTAGGGGAATGTGCCGTTATTAGGGAATTTGTAGGCGAGGGCCCAGAGTGCCTGACGAGCACGCTGTCCACCACAGTTAGGGAGACAAGGATATAGAGAAAGAGAGGCGAGCGTCTGTGGCCTTGATGTGATGGGACGTCGGGCTGATGGATATTAAAGGCAAACAGAATAGGATGGAGGGCCTTGGCTGCCTACCTGGAGCTCTTAGAACACGGGAGGCGACTGCATTGTCTACGGATGAGAGAGAGCACAAAACAATAACAATGACATCCATGTAGTGAGTTAGATGAAGTTGAGATTGATGGGCTCTTGCAGTTCACCTTAACTTCATGCTAAATAAGTGCGAGCTGGACTGTAACACGACAAAGGAAAGCCTTGAAAGAATAAACCTCCACAGCTTTATTTTAGCCTAGTGACAGACTTCAGCTGCTTACCGTAAAAGATGCATCACAGCTACAAAAGCTGGATTCTAGACTTGGTTGGTCATGAGTCAGTCATGTATAATGTATATTTTTATATGTAAAATTTCTAAATATAGCTCTATGAAATGTCATTTTATAACAATGATACTGCTTTGTTGCTAAATGAGGAGGTTAAAAAATTCTGAGTAAGAACATAGTGATATTGCTGAACCATCTTGTTTATGGCTTTTAAATTGCCACATTCTTAACTCTTCCAGATTCCCTCTCTTAAAACCTGACAAAAAAACAACAACATTCTGATGCCGTTAAAAATCAGCCTGAAGACGTCTTCTCATCATTACACCTGAGCTTGGGTGTTTCACGGCTGTTTTGACCATGCACAGAACCTACATGGTTGGAATTTGGTGTTTCATTGACACTGGAGTAGCCCGGTAGCAGAGGTGGTAGCTACTGTATGATGTATGGTCCTATCCAGGCTCCGACTGGTAATCTGTGATACCGGGCATTTGCCCGGTGGGCCGGTCCTAATTTTCTGTTTCTTCAAACTGTAAAATCCTTGCAACAAACTAAATTATAATAAAACAAAAATGCGTTCTTTAAACCAAACAATATTCCTCTTATATTTGACGAGTTTACGTTTGAATATTTAGCAAAAATATGTTGCGGTGCATGATGGGGTTTTGCATCTAAAGGCTAACGTTTACCATCCGTGCATTGTTACGTGCATTGTTGCCAGGTTGGGATGATCTGGCAGTTTAGGATCTGGCAGTTTAGGATGGCCGTCAATGGGTAAAAAATGTTTTTCTTTAGATATATGGCCTAAGAGATCAATAGACTTTTTTCAAATTGGGCAAGATTTCATATACCCAGGGAGTTTATGAAAATAGTTTGGGCTGGAAAACGTGAATCAGTGACATCTGGCAACCCTGCTGATGTGGTGAGTGTGGACGTTACGCAGCAGCAGTCACTGTCACGTCCGTGTTAATAACCAAAGCCAAAAAACGCATTATAGAGGTCTTGTTGATGGTTGTCGCGTGATGCTTGAAGATAGATCGGTTAATCCACAATTGGTATTCGTATTTTGTTTCACATTTGAGACGCACGCGTTTGACTGTACTTCTATGGGGCATAAGTGGACCGGTGTAGATGGAAAAATGCCTGATACATGGAAATCGTTCCCAGTCCCAGCCTGGCCTTAACCAACTGCATAGCTTGGTTGTCAGGGAGGCAGGACAAAAATCACATGTTCATACTGACCAGGAAGTGATCAACCAAACATAAAAAGTAACTCCACCCTTCTAAAATTGATTTAAGCCTGGTATGGTTATCGTCATGGTTGATTTCCTGTAAGGTTGTTTCTAGCAGAGGAGAAGTGCACAAATTTAAACCTGACCCCCCCTTAAAATTTGTGAGTAGAGCCCTACATGAAGTTAAAATTACACAAAATAGGAGTGTGCTCTATTCGTTCTAGAAACCTTAACTTACAGGATTTACCTCAAGCCATTCTTTTCTCCTCTACAGTAATCCTGTAACAAATGGTGGAGATGCAGAGACCTCCCAATTTCATAAAATACTGCGTGATGTATAAAAACGTTAACTTTTATCAATATAGTAAAATGATCAAGAGAGGAACAGGAAGGACAAATTAGTCTTCATATTGAAATAGAATTTCCCAAATTTTCTGCCGTCCAGCAATGTTCAATTGCTCAATTGGTCTTAATCAGCAGCACAAAATAGTCTTTAAACAGCAGGGCAGTCATCTTAATGAAGCAAACAAAAGAACTACTGTGTACCAGTGCTTCTTTTAACAGGTTAATTATGACATTGAGAGAAGCTTAATCAAAGCTTACATCAAAACATAAAACTGTCAGGCAATAATATTTGTTTTCATGCTAATAGATGCCCATGCAGTATATGACCTGGGTAATGTGTATCTCTGTAAAGCCCTGTGGAATGTGTAATCATTCAGGTCATTACAACTCTCCCCCAGGAATGTTCCATAAAATGACGCCATCATGAAAGGCCATTAAGACCATTCTGCCAAAATATATCTTCAACTTTATTTGAAGAAATTGATGAGAGAAAAAAATTACTTTCTAAAGCTTTAATGTTTCTGCTCGATTGCGAATACAAAAATTGATTAAGCTGGTGTGGATGGAAACAATATTTTACTGATATTTGGAGATGTTCTGCTTTAAATTTTAATTTAAGTTAGTTCAAGTTAATGATTTATCGGAAAACTTTACCTATGTTGTTTATAGCTTTTTTTTATGTATCACTATCTAATTCTTTTTGTCTGAATTGGTTTCTACAACTTTTTAAATCCCTGAAGTATCTATTTTCCCTAGCATCCAACTACAATAACTTTAGATAAACTTTAAGTGAGTTTAGAACTGGAAAACCTATATGACTCTTGGAAAAAAGAAGAACTAAGTAAGTTAAATCATTATTTTAGAAAAAAGACGTGCTTGTTTTATTAGAAAAAAGATTTTTATCTCCCAGATTTAGTTTAAAATCTTTAATGAAATGACATCTGAAGGCAGAATTATCTAAGGAGTAAAGGCAAAAGTTAAACCGATATAGATGAAAAGTTTAAAAACTTTGGGAGAAAATTAAACTTTGAACTCAGTATGTTTTATTTCAATCACTTATTAATTCTCTTACTATAACGGGTATAAAAAAAAAACTTGATTCAGTGCATTGCAAACTTTATCTTCCTTCCTTCCTTCCTTCCTTCCTTCCTTCCTTCCTTCCTTCCTTCCTTCCTTCCTTCCAAGGAACATACTCTGCTCTTAGAGATTAGTACATATTTGATCAATGCTCTTTCTCTCATCAGATGTTCATTTAAAGGCCCCATTTTGCCTTTGAGCTTCGTTTTTGTGACAAAAAACAACAAATAACCTCCATTTGATGGTGTTCTTCTCTTCTCTAAAAGAGACAGCAGCTGAGGTGTCGGGGACCAGGATTTTCTTCCATAATTTGTTTACATCAACATCTAACAGATTTGCATAATATCTGCCTTCTGGCTGAGTTAGCACAAGTCAAACAGAGAAAAACAAAGTTTTGCCTCATGGTTTTTAACTTATCTGAGTGGAGGTTTTTGGAATGAGGCCAAGAAAAAATTATCTTAGTGTTTTTAATCAGAATATAACAAGAAGCACTTTAATAATAAAAGAAAGTATAAACGAGTTTTGAGTAGCTAAATTTGTCAAGCATCTTCTAGTTGAGCTTTAAAATAGAAATATGCTGTTTATATTGACTTAGGGACATGATGCTAACAGGCTTTCCATGCTCCATCCATCTTTCATCTACTCTGACCAGCTTTCTTTTTCCTGCTGAAGAAAATCCTCCCCTACCCTCCTGAGGAGGGCTTGCTCAGGATGATGGGGAGTTTTAGCTTTCCACTACACATAGCGTTTTTCAAGTAGGTTAAAAAATTAGATTCTAATCTTAGCCTTTTAGGGCATTTTTCTCTTTCCCAATGTGTTTTATCACCTAGCTGGAATCTTAAAGCCTCACAATTTCAACACAGGAGCTCACACTCATTTTCTGCTTAACATCACAACATGCATTCTTAACAATATGATGCCTGTTTATCATTTCTCCATAACTCTGATGGATTTTACCACTATAGCTGTCCATTGTTTTCTTCTTTGCTGTATGTTTTTATCCCACAGAGTAGAAATAGTCAGAGTTTTGCCAGCTGAGATTTTCAGAAAAACAACGATCTTCACACATACATTAGCCTGTGCTTGTGCTTATGTGTACATGCAAGGGTTTTTATATTTATAAAGTCTGGATTATGGTGTACAGTCTCTTTCGAGGAGCATATGGTGTCAGCCTAAAAGGCGCGCAGCCATCACTAATGAAGACGGATGACAGGGAGCTGAATCCTTTTTTCTGTGAGCACAGCACTGCATACGTGAGTGCATGTTTGTATGCTCCGTTGAAAAAAAAAAATAAAAACCCACCTTCAATGTTCTCCATCCATTTCATCATGTTCTTGAAGCATTAACCTTCTTGGATTCAATTGTTGGATTCAATTGTAGCTTATGTTGGGGATGTTTCTATCTTTGAATCCGTCTTACAGGAACCAGGGACAACATGGTGCTTAATGAAAATCTACAGCCAGAGCTTCATCCAACATGTGCCACGTCTTTGGCAAACACGCAGCCCCTCAAAGGTAATGTGTGTAACCATGTGTGTGCTTTTTACCGATCAGATTCTCCCCCAAATCCCTGTAATTAACACAGCAATTAGCCAGAGCGTGGAGAAACACCCCTTTCTGTCTACCATGTTTAACCTGAGTCCTTTTCCTTCCCGCCTCCGCTCCTCTCAGCCCGTTATTGGTGCAAGCTGCCCAAATGCCATGGCATTTTGGAAATGTGAAGCAAATTCTCACCCACTGACATTCAGAAACTTCTGCCATGTTTTCTTTTAAGAGAGGGTGGAGAGGATGCCATAAATATGGATGCCAGTAATGTTCTCTTTTTTTTTCTTCTTTGCACCGTGTTTTACCCTCAGTGTGTGAGTATATAAAATATGGCTGAGACTCTACGTTCAGTCTTTAACCTTTTTACCTTAACATCCACAAATATGGGTCAGTAAGCCCCCTAAGAGAGAGGGGACACACATTTGGGTAAGAAGCAGAACTAAGTTGTTGCTATTACTCAGGGGGAGGCATCATACTTGTTTCAGCTCCACGCGTCTGAGACGCTGCTGCTATATTTAGCCTGTTTTAGTCAAATTCAATCTCTTACATATTTATATCTACCTGTTCATTTTTTCATGTTGCAATGCAAGAAATAGTGCATTTTTTCAGGTTTTTATGTTACTGTATAAAACAACAATAAATTGGGAAACTTCAAAAGAAAAGGATACATATTTTTATTTTTATTTTAGTAGAAATAAAAGCAGTGAAAGCTTTTGCTCACAGAAGTATGTTCATCAGCCAATAGTCTACCTCAATAAGCTCCACTGTAAAGCTTGAGTAGGTTTGTTAGAGAACATTAGTGAAGAAACGGCATCACGAAGAACAGGAGACACAGCAGACAAGCCAGGGATAAAGTGGGGGGATGTTTAAAGCAGGGTTAAGGTATAAGCCGATATTCCAAGCTTTAAAACATCCCACATAGCACTGTTCAATCTACTGAATACAAATGTATATCCCACTTTTTAGGGTATTATTTTAAATAAATTTTGGAAAAACATAATTTTTTCCCATCTACCTAATAGTTGACTACAATTTATCTTGGTTTATCACATAAAAGCTGAATAAAATAGCCATATTTTGTGTTGATAACATAAAGAAATATGAAACAAATAAAAGGAAATATTTATTCAAGGACTGTATAAATCTAAATTAACTTTATACAGCTACCTCTGAGGCTGCAAGCTTTGGAGTTGAGCTTAGGTATATCTGCAAAGGTATTTTTTTGTGTAGCATTGCGTTCTCTTAGATCCAAGGTTTTAGTTGGCCATTAACAGTCCTGTTTAAAACCAGTGAGAGAAAAGGATTTCAAAATGGCATTTTTGGGTTTCTTTTTTTCTTAAAGGAGACATTTTCTGTCAGTTTATTTCTATTACCCCACTTGACTGGCCACCAACTGGCAGGTTTGCATATACATGCCGAGTCGACCTACCTATCCCTAAAAAAATCATAAACTGCCACAAAAAACAATTATGATGAAATTCAGTGTTTATGTATCAAATGCTGTTCAACTTTATATGGAATTTACACCAACAAATTTTTCCTCTTTGACCTTTTTGTGAATCTCCTCTTCTTACTTTAACTCAGAATTACAGCTCCACTAACTTGTGTGGCACAAGTATCGGTTTACTGTTAATTTTTGTGTGAAGCCATTTTCACTGAACAGAGGTTTAACAAAGCATAGTTTTTCATTTACATATTCCACTTTTTTGTTTTACACATTACAGATTTTGATTTTGAATTTTTCTGTAAAGTAAAATGAAATAATAATTAGTACAGTGCTAAATTGTACATGACATTTTAAAAGAAGCAGTAAACTTTTATTGGTTTTATGCATGATGTTTTTTGGACCAGATGATCTCCCTCCAGAAATCTATCAGGGCCAAATGAGGCAAAAGTGTTTGTTTTCTGATCTTGGCTTTCGCTGCTGCTCAACTGAGCAATTACGATGACCAATCACCTCATTTTTTTTCTTCTCCCACTTCTGTCAGATGACAGAAGTTCACATGAATCATCTTGGGAATGCCACACCGCTGGCAGTGACCTTGGCACAGATGGCGCCAGCAGGGAAGACGCACCTGCACTGCTCAGCAGCCTGGATCCTTTCGCAGGCGTGGAGACGGATGGGATTGACGGGAGAGAGGGAGAAATCGTGACCCTGAGAGACGATCCGGAGCTGGAGGCTGGACGGAGTCCGGTGGAGGAGGCAGGGCGTGAGGAGGAGGGAGTAGAGGATGAGGAGCTGGGTTCCTCCGTGGAGGAAGGAGAAGAAGCCGCTGTGGCACTAGATCTTCGTCCGACTGAGTCAAAGCTTCAGTGGCTTTCCATCACACAGACCTCTGTCTGTTATTCAGAGGTCCCCTGCCAAGACAGTGAGTCTAATGATGCGCTTGAACATGAAGAAGACTCTGCATCAACTCCAAAGAGTCAGGCCACAGACGGATCGAGCAACACTGAGTGGGACATTCACTGCTCGTCCGCAGCTGGCATGGTCTGATGTCATGAAAAGATAGGAAAACATCTCTTTCTTGTCGTTGTTATTGATGATTACATTAATCATCCCTAGTTGGAATCCCACTGCTTTGCCTCTGCTCATTAACTTCCTTCCACACTGAGCAGCTCGCTTTCAGTCGATAAAACAGAGAAAACACTTTTTTTCCTCCTTTTTTTTTTAACCAGATGCTGCTGACAAAGCCAGAGGTGCACTCTGCAACCAGCCTGTCGTCGCGCTGCAGCAAAAAATCTTCCAATCCGTAGACAGGCAAACCTAATGCCCTGCAGAAAAATAAAAACAAGTGATCAGCTTGTGTGTTCTATATCTTGTCGCGTTCCCCTGTGTGGAGATAATCCCAGTTGTTTGCTTTATTCCTCTGAATGCTAAGGAATGTCAATAAACTCAGAGCTGCATTTCTTGGGGTCCCTTCCAAAAGGGATTCCAAATTTGTGGTGAACCAAAACTTGTAGATGTGTTGGATACTTTTAAATTTATTGTATCACATTCATTTGGGTAATATCTGTTAATCTAAATCTGGCCTATTTCTTTTTTTTTTGGGGGGGGTGATATGCTCGGATGTGACTTAATGTGCCTTATATGTGGAAATATTTAATACATATAAATATAAGTTTATAAAAACTGAAATTTTTCTGTGCATTCATTTTTGCATGTGATCCATCACATTTATCATTTTAAAACATTGATATTTTTTCCCCCAAAAAAGTTTATTCGATCATATTAAAATATATATTGAATAGGTTATTTATTGCCCAATTGTGAGGTGTTCCACATTCCATTGCCTTTATATAGCTATACAGCACTCCATCTCAGGCCAGAGCAACTTCAGCAACAACTATAAAAACAGAGTTTATGTCAAAACATCCTCTTCAACCCAGGGAGTGCTGGTGCAAAAAACCAAGTATGCACGGTGGACCCTTTCAATGGTCAACCAATTTCATAGAAATAGTTTAATAAAATACACATAGTTTAATTGAAATTCCTTATAAAAGAAATATAAAAAAGTTTTACTTCTCTGGTCATAATAATGTATATGAAAAAAAGAAAAACCTTTTGTTTGAATTTATATATAAATATATTTAAGCATTTATGTAAGTCATAAGAGAAATTCTGACCCTTATGGTAAAGTAGAAAAAAGGAAAGAAAGCTACTGTACATTGGCGGCGCCATTATATTGTAAGTTATAGGGCCTTTTGGGGTTTAACAGATGAAGGAAAGGTATGGTGCTAAAGACTTGTGAGGTTCTTTGTTTTAGATTTTTTGATAGGACTTGGTACCAGGGCTTCTCTCCTGATGTTGACAGTAACAATCAAACCCCTAATAACACAGATTTTTCTTTTTAAGTATAATTCCTTAAAAAGAAGCATCAATAATGTTGCAGAGGTTCAAAAGTTGGGTGTCCTTTTTCATTAACCAACAATCTTTTTACTGATTAAAATTTTGATCAATTAATTGTTTCCTTTAGCATTTAAAAATTTCTCTTTTTTTCTCCAGCTCCATCTTGAGAATTAATTCATGTGGGGAGCTAGATCGATTTTATTCATACTGAACATTTTAGCTTTTGGTTTATATGTATAAACTGAAATGTAGAGTGACATTTAGAACTTAAAGCTTCAAAACAGCAAATTTTTTTTAGTGAAAAAAGTTTATACCGCAAATGTAGTGGATCGTCCTGTGGCCAAGGTCCAGAGCCCTGTGCACATTGGGAAATCAACGATGAGTCCCACTCCTACATGCAGGTGACAGCTGGCCTCTCCAGGCAAACGCAGCATCATATCCAGAATGCATGAACTGCTTATTCTGCAGGATGTCGCTTGCTATTTTTAATCTCTTTTAATAAAACATAGGCAAGGAAAAAGAGGGAATTGAGCTTTGGGGACAGGGGTGGCAGAGGGGGGTGTAGTGTGTACCCCGCATGGGACCTGTGCCATGCAGCTGATTTGGCAAACTGCACCAAGGCTATTTAATTTTTTTTTTTATTTTGCTCCAGCTTTAAGTCTGTCATCCAGATGGGAGCTGAACTAATAAATTTAGATGATACCAGCTTGCCATTAAATTTCTCTAAAGTAATTGCCTGGTTTTGATTGTTTGCATGCATATAAATGATGTGAGGAAACCACTTGGCTTTCTGTTTGAAACAAAATAAATTTTAGCAAGCCATATACTAAGAAGTAGAGAAGATATGCTTGGTGACTTTAATAAAAGATTTGGTGTTTTTGTTAGAAAAAGAAGAACCTGAACTGAAGAAAAATATTAATTGACCTTCCCTGATAGTAATCTGGAAATTTTTACCTTGTTCAAAAAGGAAAACTAAACCAAAATATTTAAAACAAACTGTTTCAGTAGAGGTAAAACAGTAACACCATTAATAACGATATTTAGTCCCAAATCGATACAGATTATGCTTACTCTGATAGATTTATTAACACTAATCACATGCATGGATGCTTTAGTTTGAACTTTTAAATGATTTATTAGAATATTTTACAGGGTGCAATTGCAATCCCACAGTCGACTTCTGTGATTTTTATACAAAAAAATTGAATCCTTAGGTTAAATTCGTTACACATTTTCTTTAATTCACACATTGTTGAAATTCTGCCCACAGGCTTAAACCAACATGCTATTGATATTTGGAATGTCCCTCAGCAAGTTACACTTGACCAAACACTTTGTATACCCATTGGCTAGATTTTAACAGTATTTTGACATCATGAGTTGCATAGTTTGAAGCAAAATGAAAGGAAACTGCCTTGGTGCCTTCAGAAATCTTATTTATTCAACAGATTTCAGTTTTTTAATGACAGATCTTCCTCATGCTTCAGGGTTACCTGTGGAGTGCCACAGGGTCAGTGCTAGACCCGATTCTCTTTAATTATACGCTCCCAATTGGTAGAAATATTCGACAGCTTGGGATTAATTTCCACTGTATGCTGATGACAATCAGCTATATCTGGATAAATTCAGATGAAACTAACCCATTACATAGATTACAGGCATGTCTTGAAGATATAAAAACCTGGATGACTCTTAACTTTCTGCTTCTGAACGTAGACAAAACAGAAGTTATAGTCTTTGGACCAGAGTCTTTGAAAAATAAGCTGATTAGTCAGTCATTTAATTTGGATGAAATTAAATTTATCTCAGATAAAAAAGTAAAAATGTTGCTGTTATTTTTTATCAGGACCTGTCATTTAAATTCCATATCAAAGAGTTGTCTAGAATTTCCTTCTTTCATTTCTGGAATATTGCAAAGATTAGAAAGAATCCTATCCAGGGTTGATGCTGAGAAATGAGTCCATGCGTTTGTCCTTCTCACATATAAAGCCTTAAAGCTACAGTGTGTAATAATTACAGGGATAAACAGTCAGAAATGTAATATATTATACATAACTATGTTATTTATCATCATCAACGAGCTTAGCCTCTTAACCTTAATATTTGCGTTGCCTTAGAATTCGTTATTTATAATTACATAGGAGCGGGTCTCGCAGCCATGGAGGCAGACATCTTTGCGCTACGGCAGCGCAGAGCCAACAAACTAGCAATTGCGAGAAAACGTCACAACGATGTAGAAAAAA